GCCCTGACCGGCACATGGTTCATGGGTTGGTGCTCAACCACTGGGCCACACCGGTCGGGCACATCATTTCTAAACGTTCTTTGGCCTGGTTTACCTACTATTGAAAATTAGAAAAGTTACAACACATGCCAGACTCTTATAAGTACATTTTAATTTTAAACACATTTCCTTGGGAAAATGTATATATTTATATTTTAATGATAAAAATTATTTAAAAAAATTTGATTTGAGAGAGAGAAACACCAATTTATTGTTCCACTTATTTATGTATTCATTGGTTGATTCTCTCTCTCTCTCTCTCTCTCTCTATATATATATATATATATATATATATATATATTATTGATTTCAGAGAGGAAAGGAGAGGGAGAGAGAGAGAGAAACATCAATGATGAGAATCACTGATTGGCTGCCTCCTGCATGCCCCCTACTGGGGATCGAGCCCGAAACCTGGGCATGTGCCCTTGACCGGAATTGAACCCAGGACCCTTCAGTCCGCAGGCTGATGCTCTATCCACTGAGCCAAACTGGCTAGGGCTCATTGGTTGATTCTTGTATGTGCCCTGACTGAGGATCAAACCTGCAAGCGTGGTATATCGGGATGATGGTCTAACAAACAGCTACCTGGCCAAGGCTAAAAATTATTCTTAATTGTGGAGGAGAATTGGCCTTAAGCACCTTCCTTCACTAAGCATTATTTGTTGGGTGTGCTTCCTGACAAAGCTAGTGAGCTTCCCTCTGGAAAACGTCAAGAAAAATCTCACATTTTCATTGTTTTTAAAAAAAGGTCGGTATAAAGGCAACCTTTTTAAAATGAGTGCTAAATTTTTAGTGAGGATAATGATTGGGTTTGGAATGAGGAAGACCGGAGAAAGCAAGGATTTATTGGGAAAACATGTCTCAGTTTAGCGACTGCAGCAACTTGGAAGCAAACTCCCCCAGAAAGCAGAAAGGGCCAGACGGAGCTGGGTGGAGGGGCACGATAAAAGAGAAATGGAATGGAGAAACTGAGTTACAAAGCCTTTTTGAGAGGAGCCTCCTCCTACCCTGGAAGACTAAACCAGAGGAACTGTTCCCAAGAAGTCAGCCCTGTTCTTTGGCAGGGTTTTTCCTATCCTTTCCTAGTCCCATCTCTATTGGCTCAGGAAATGCGAATGATTGAAAATACCACACAGCCACCTTTATCCAGAACTTCCTGGACCTCAATCCCTGTCCGGTGACTTTAACATCCACACAGTAGGGTCCTGAAGCTCTTTCCCGAAGGCAAGGACTGGGTCTTTCCATCTCTTAGGATACAATGGCTCACTGAGGGGAGCACAGGGAATTGGGGGATGGGTGTTGAATGTGGCAGCTGCATGAGATGTTTCCAAGTGCTGCACATGTAGGGTGGGAGTCCTAGGCCAAGAAACTGGGAAGTCTCCTTTTGTAGCACAGATCTTACAGCAGTTCTCAACCTTCCTAATGCCGCGACCCTTTAATACAGTTCCTCATGTTGTGGTGACCCCCAACCATAAAATTATTTTCGTTGCTACTTCATAACTGTAATTTTGCTACTGTTATGAATCGTAATGTAAATATCTGATATGTTATATGTGTTTTCTGATGGTCGTGACCCACAGGTTGAGAACCGCTGTGAAGAATGTCTAAGCTTTGGCTCTCACTGTTCCATTGGAGGATATGCACTCATCCCTATCTTGGCCCATCTTCAGTAATTAGGGGTAATTAGTGTGGTAGGTGAGAGTGGAGTCACACTGCTTAAAGTTCAAATCCTGGCCCTGCTTCTGAGCTGTGTTAAGTACTTGGGCAAGTACTTAACCTCGGTGCCTTGGTTTCTTTATGTATAAAATGCCACCATCATTCCTCGCTGGTCTTCCTGCTCCTGTCCTCGCTCCATATGGTCTATTCCCTATATAACTGTCAGAATGAGCTTTTACAAACATAAGATAGATCATGTCACTCTTGTGTTCAAAAGCTTCCAAAGGCTTCCTATCCCTGGGAATAAAAGTCAAAGTCCTTACACGGCCCCTATGTGGACTGGCCCCTGCTCATCACCTATCGCTTTATCCCTCACGGTAGTCCAGAATCCCCTGGAGGTCTTGTGAAAACACAGACTGGGAGCCTCACCTTCAGTCTCTGGTTCAATAAGGCTCGGGTGGGCCTGAGAATTTTAATTCCTAATGAGCTTCCAGATGCTGCCGCTCCCGCTGCTTTTGGGAGGGGCTGAAGGGGGGAGAACCACACTTTAAAAAACATTGACCCAGCCAGATCAACTGCTTTAGTATTCCTCAAGCCCACCAGGCACATCCCTACCTTAGGGACTTCGCGTTTGATCTTCCCTCTGCCTGGCTCTCATTTCCAAGGTCAGCATGGCTCACACCCTTATTAAAAGTCACACCCTACTCCCAGCTTTCCCAATTCTCCCTCCCTCCCCCGTTGTGTTTCTCCACAGCACTTAGCACCACTTGACACACTGTATGTTTTCCTTGTTTGTTTGTTTGCCTCCCTCAGCTCCACCAGACAGGGCTATGTGATCTAGTCTTTGTTAGGTTAGGTGGCTCAGGAGACGGCGCAAGAAATAGAGGTCCAGTGAATCAGAAAAGAAAGGAAAGGAAAAGGTTTATTTCTGCGTCCCCGGGAGACCCACGTACCCCAAGGACAGGGCACGTGGATTCACGCCAACAGGGAGGGGGGCGCTTTTTTTTAATACTGCGGTTGGGTGAGGGGCGGGGACATGAGCTGAGGTATTCAGTTGAGGAAGTTTCAGCTGCAGGGAGGTCAGCCAGGTATTCAGGAATGAGTCAGTATCTGTGTGGGGGTCGTGGAGAAGCCAGTATCTGTGTCTGGCATGCTGATCTGTTAGAAATGCCAGGGGGAGTCCATTATCTCATCACATGTCTGCATGTATCTGATCCTGGGCTCTCTCCGACCTAACAGTCTTGACTTCCCTTGTCTCTTCCTCTTCCCTCCCTTTGTATTTAGAAGCCCCTTCCTTAAAACCTAAAACCTTTTATTAGAAGTCTGCTCACTCCAGCATGTCCACCACCTAGGTAGTGCCTGGCACATAGAAGATAACAAATACTTGTTGGATGAATAAATCTGCGAAATGGGATAATGATAGTACTGACTTTGTAGGGTCATTGTGAGGACTGATACAAGGTTAATCATGTAAAGCACTTGGCACGGAATAAGTTTTAATAAATGTCAGCTGCCACCACTATTGGGGGAAACCAAAGCACTCGGTGTGCCATTGGAGACCTTGGCGCTTCATCAGCTTGTCTTTCCTTCTAGTTGCGTTGGATATGGGATTTGCTCTCTACAGAAGGTTCTTTGTCCCTGCAAATGGGTCACCGGTGAGTTTGACTTATTATTTTTTATAAAATATATTTTTATTGATTTCGGAGTGGGAGAGAGAGATAGAAACATCAATGATGAGAGGGAATCATTGATTGGCTGTTTCCTGCACGCCTCCTACTGGGGATCAAGCCTGCAACCCGGGCCTGTGCCCTGACTGGGAATCAAACTGTGAACTCCTGGTTCATAGGCCAGTTCTCAACCACTGAGTCACTCCGGCCGGGAAGGTTCTGAGTTTTAAATCTGACATTTCATTTATGTGGGATCAGATTATGCTCCTATAGAGATCCTTCATGCAACTCAACTCTGTTTTCTTGGTTGGCTCTATAGAACCATCCAAAATGGGATGATGGTCAAGTAGACGGAGAAACAATTACTCTGCCTTGTGCACTCAGAGAGTGAAATGACTCTTAGCTTTGCATATAGAACATCTCCTCTCTGTGTCTCTTGCCTGAGCTCCTTGTTCTTCAGACTTTTAAGAGTCTGATGTGACTGGGATGGTCTTTGTTGTTTAGTAAGAGAGATGTAACTGAATTATGTAATTAGCATTTTTTCACTTATTTCCATTTTCCTCCTTTTCTCCCTAGGTGTCTTTTGCAGCTCACATTGCAGGTGGATTTGCTGGAATGTCCATAGGTTACACCGTGTTTAGCTGCTTTGATAAGACGCTGCTGAAAGATCCACGGTTTTGGATATCAATTGCAGCTTATTTAGCTTGCGTCTTATTTGCCGTGCTTTTCAACATTTTCCTATCCCCAGCAAACTGACCTGCCCTAATAGAAGCCAATTATAAAAAGAGCCATCTGGGGGAAAACTGGAGAACTCTTATGAAGAAACAGAGAAGCCCCAGCAAATTTTCAAAGAAGGAAAAACACTATTGAAGTGATCAGTTGCAAGGACTTCCAACAAAAGGTTTTAGGTTTTAAGGAAGGGGCTTCTAAATACAAGGGGAGGGAAGAGGAAGAGACAAGGGAAGTAAGGACTAGAAATTTGGTCTTTCCCAGGCATATGGTGTGCATGCATGTATCCTCTCAAAGAGACTTGTTCTTCGAGGATGTATTACAGAGATGGCTTGCTAGAACCAAGAACACTGTACTATGCTGATAATAAAAACTTTTCATACCTGTGCCAGACTACTCATAGTCATTTTCAATCACTGTTCCAGCAGACAGATCACTGAGGTGCTTTATATACATTATTGCTAACCTTTTTAAGAACCCCACAAGGTGGCTATTACTCTGCACCCTGGAGAGGACATGGAAACTCTTTAAAAAAAATCAAGTAACTTGTCTAGGAGGGAGCACAGTTTACAGATTGGTAATGACTTGAAAGCCCATACTCTTCTCCCCTCCTGGTCTAACAATGCCATATCCCCCAAATACTGAAGGTTGAGTATCGTGGGAGTAGGGGAATAAACATTTTGGTGGGTGCACCAGGGATGTAGAACTACCTCATAGGAGAAGATGGAATTCTCTGGACAACTAGCTTCAGATTCTAATGGCTTGCCTAGGACCCCAAGGAACCTGGAACTGGCTTCCCAGTGCATACTGTGCACCTGGCTCTGGACTGTCATCTGTGACAACATTCTCATCCCTCACTGGCTAGTGGCTCTCCTAGGAGTGGGTGGGATTTATTTTCAGAAGGTGAAGATGTCGTATCTGAAGGCTGAGATGCCTGTGTCGTTTTCATGTAAAGGACCCAGATTGTTGGCCATGCTTTTTCCCAAACAGTAGTTTTAGGTTGTTCTCCTTTCGTCATCCCTTCGACATGTTTTATTTTTAAGCACCCCCACGTAATATAGTGAGGAATGTATTTTAGCATTTTGAGAAAAGCTGATCTGGCATTTGTTTAAAACGTTTTTTTAAAAAATTTGAGTATGAGAATATGAGTATGTTCTTGGTTAAACAAAGATTTGAATAAGAATGTAAAAAGGTACCCCCCCTTTTTTTACTTTCTCACCCTCCAAACTGCTTTTTGCCCCTGGTGATGACCACTGTCAACAGCTGGGTGTGTATTCTAGGCCTTTTTCTATCCAGGATGAGCAGAAAGGGAAATGTATTGTAGATGATGGCTCACTACTCACTGCACTGAATTGCACTAATCTACTCTACATCCCCAAAGGGACAAATTCACAGAAATGCTCATCTGCCATGGTGAATACACCAGGTCACTAGTTCTGAGGAGAGACCTTTAATGACCTAAAGGGCAATGTAATTGTTAATCATAGGAAACTGGATAGCAACAGGGTTCATCTAACTATGAAATCGGACATGACCCATTGATTATTAATACTGATGGCTAAATAGTTATTATCTAGTCAGAAAGATTTTTTGGTACCAGAAACATTGTTCACATGACCGAACACAGTGCTTATCTTATTGGGTTCCCCAGCGGGCAAAATTACCGTAAAGAGAGCACATACAAACATTGGGTGTTTTAAATCTGATATCTCTGAATTACAGAGGAACCATTTATTCAGCTTAATTTAGGGTTCATAACTTTAGTCTTCTAAAGTGCTGGGTTATTGGACATACTGTAAGTATTCTTATCTGTGCTGTTCAATAAAGTAGCCATTAGGCACAGGTGGCTTACACATGTCACGTTGCCAGAGCTCAAAAGCTGCACGTGACTAGGGGCTACCTCACTGGAGAGCACACATCGTCTATTTCATCACTGCTGCCAAAAGCTCTATTGGACAGCCTGTTTTAGAGGCAAGAATGAGCTGAAAGGGAAATGGATTTTAGTTGGAGGCTGACTCATTCACTGCACTGAATGGAACTGAACCTGCTCTACACCTGAAAAGGGAGCAAAAGTTGGAAATGACTGAGCTATAACTTCTAAGAAGGATTTACTTTTGATTCATATTCATCTAAACCAGCGGTTCTCAACCTGTGGGTCTCGACCCCTTTGGGGGTCGAACGACCCTTTCACAGGGGTCGCCTAAGACCATCGGAAAACACATATATAATTACATATTGTTTTGTGATCAATCACTATGCTTTAATTATGTTCAACTTGTAACAATGAAAATACATCCTGCATATCAGATATTTACATTATGATTCATAACAGTAGCAATATTACAGTTATGAAGTAGCAACGAAAATAATTTTATGGTTGGGGGTTACCACAACATGAGGAACTGTATTAAAGGGGTCTCGGCATTAGGAAGGTTGAGAACCACTGATCTAAACAAAGAAAGGTTTGTGTTAATTTCTCTCTTAGCTAAGAACCAAATGAAATGTTTTATTTTCTGCTTTTGAATTCTATAGTAATGTATTTATGTACATAGTATTCATGTCATTTGCTATAAAAGCTTTAGAATCTAATACTTGAGGTGAAATAATGCTGCTTCTTTCAGGAAATACTATTCCCTTTAAGGAAAAAAAATCTTTTATTTCTTTTTGTGATAGAAAAGTAAAGTGCTCATGGTAAAAAAAATTATTAAAAATCAAGTCAATTGTACTCATACTACCCAAAGAGATAAGTTAACATTTTGATGAATATACTTCTAGGCTCTTTTTTTGTTGTTGTTAATCCTCACCCAAGGATATGTTTTCTATTGATGTTTTAGAGAGAGTGGAAGGGAGAGGGAAAGAGAAACATTGATGTGTGAGAGACGTATCGACTGGTTGCCTTTCACACACACCCCGACCGGGACCAGGGATCAAGCCTGCAACTGAGGTACCTGCCCTTGCCTGGAAATGAACCTGCAACCCTTCAGTCTGAGGGCTGACGCTTTAACCACTGAGGAACCGGCCAAGGCATAGGCTTTTTTTGGTATGCATCTCTACATTTAAGTAAATTCACAATGATGGGTCCATATTATTCTATTTTATAATCTGAAAATCACTGAAACTATCAAATGTCTTTTTAAAAAATATATATTTTATTGATTTTTACAGAGAGGAAGGGAGAGGGATGGAGAGTTAGAAACATCAATGAGAGAGAAACATTGATCAGCTGCCTCCTGCACACCCCCTACTGGGGATGTGCCCGCAACCAAGGTACCTGCCCTTGACCGGAATCGAACCTGGGACCCTTCAGTCTGCAGGCCGACGCTCTATCCACTGAGCCAAACCGATTAGGGCTCAAATGTCTTTTTATATTAATATATAATTATCATTTTTACTGTTTGCATACTACCACACTGTGGGTGTACTATTATTTGTTATGTAAAACAGTCTTTCTTGTACTGATAATTATTGTGTATGTTTTCAAGTTATGATTACTATCATAATACCTGCTTACACTTTTTTAATGTCTTTTATTTTATAAGAGGCCCAATGCACGAAATTCGTGCAAGGGGCTCGGCCCTCGCAGCCCCCGCTTCGTCCGGCAGGACGTCTGGAAGGTCGTTCGGCTGTCCGGTCTAATTAGCATATTATGCTTTTAATATTATAGATTACTTTTTAAAATATATATATATTTTTTTATTGATTTCAGAGAGGAAGGGAGAGGAAGAGAGATAGAAACATCAGTGATGAGAATCATTGATCGGCTGCCTCCTGCATGTCCTCTACTGGGGATCGAGCCCACAACCTGGGCATGTGCCCTTGACTAGAATTGAACCTGGGACCTTCAGTCCACAGGCCAACACTTTATCCATTGAGCCAAACCAGTTAGGGCCCTGCTTACACTTTAAAGTGCTTTGGATTGTTGGGTCAAAGAGTATATTATTGTTAACATAAACATACATTTTCTCTATCTCAGGAATACAACTACATTTTAGAAGGTTGATGCTTTTCCAAGTCTTTTTTAACTGCATAAAGATTTCAAAAGGGCTCTAACCAGATATTTAAAAAATCAAAACTATATTTAAATAATTAAACTTTTAAGAGAAAATAGATGATTTCTTAATGTCTCTTGCATGCAGATTTCTTAAGTTTGCTTAAAGAGAAAAACCAGTTTAATAACAACGATTAAGAGCTGACTTTAGAGTTATATTAATTTAGCTGAGACCTTGGATAATATAAGGTGTGCCTCAGTTTCCTCACTATAAAATAAGGAAGCAACATCTTGTAGGATTTTTGTGGTGAACGTATCTTGTAACTATAGTATCCCAGGATGTTGTTTGTGTAACATTTCCCTTTCTATAAGGGATATAGGACATGCATTTATATTTTAGATGAAAGTGAATGAAAACATTTATTCTTTTTACTTTCTTTTGGGATATATTTCTCCTTAGATAGATATCCGAGGATACCAATCTTAATATAAAACCTGGCTGATAATCCAAGCATGTAAATTATAACTGGTCCTATTGTTCCTTCCACAAAGGCAAGCTTCATGTCTTAAATAGGTCAAATACTGTTACAACAAAAATTCCTATAATATCATCACCACTCCAATGTTCCATTTATTTCTCTAATAACATCTTGGTAGTAAAAATAGTTGAAAAATTTTGGAGTTAATTTTAAGATGATAACATTTTTACAGTATTTTTCATAGCAAAATATAATAAAGATTTGATGACTATTCGTGAATATACTACTGAAATGATTTCTGAAAATGTTCAAAAACTGCCATAAAGAAACTAGAATCTAGACATTTAAATGTGGATTAAAAAAAACTAGTCTAAATTCTTACAGCAAGAGCCAGATCTGTTTCCTCTGCTTTCATTAAATGCTGTATCTTACTGAATGATGAAATGAAACACATTCATTTTCCTTTGTGTATAAATGAGATTTTAAAATCACTGACTTTGGTTATAACTTAATAGATCAAATCAGTAGTTTCAGGAACCTCTCCAAAAGCTGAGTTTAAAAAAATAAAACAACAAACTTCAGCTAAGTAAGAAGATGCCTTACTTATAGGGAGTTCTACAATTTTATTCTTAATAGAGATTATATGCAGTGCTCTCCAGTATCATGTTTTTATTTATTATTATTATTGCATTATGAGGTCTAAACATAAGTGAATTAAAAATCCTAATATCTTAAATATATTTGTGCTAACAGATTATCACAACTCTAGGGAAAAAGTAAAGCAACCAGCACATGGATAGAGTGATGTTTTGTTCATATTCTGGCCATAGGTTTGCTTTAAGGAATAGCACACAGTCAGAATGGAAGAATTTACCTGCCTCTTAGTTGATGGGGTTCAGAGCTAAGATGGCGGACTAAATAAACACGGGGGACTGGAGTTTCCTTGGAGGAAGTTCACATCCACTCCACTGTGATTGGAAAGATCTGGCTCACCACCCTGTTCATATTTCGTATGCTTGTTCTGGGTGTAGCAGCTGAAAATGTCTGGAATGATGAGCAGTCTGGCTTCATCTGTAACACAGAACAACTTGGCTGCAGAAATGTATGCCATGACCAGGCTTTTCCTTCTCCCTCATTAGATACTGGGTTCTGCAGGTGATTTTCGTGTCTTCACCATCCCTGGTCTACATGGCCCATGCTTTGTGCCGACTGAGAGTTCTGGAGAAAGAGAGGCAGAGGGAGGAAGCTCCAACTGGGAGGAGAACTGAAAGGGGTTGAGTTTGATATGTCTGGGGATCGGAGGAGATTGGAGCAAGCACTTTGTCAGCTGCAGCAAAGGAAACGTAATAAAGCTCCGCTCAGGGGAACCTGGCTTTGCACCGATGTGACACACATTTTCACTCGCTCTGTTGTTGAAGTTGGGTTTATGATTGGACAGTACTTTTTATATGAATTTCATTTAGAGCAGTGGTTCTCAACCTTGGCTGCACATTAGAATCACCTGGGAATCTTTTTAAAAACCTGATTTCTGGGCCTCATCCTCTGGAAATTCTGTTTCTTTGTTACTAATGTTGTGGCCTCACCCCATAACAAAGAAACAGAATTTCCGGAGGATGAGGCCCAGAAATCAGGATTTTAAAAAGATTCCCAGGTGATTCTAATGTGCAGCCAAGGTTGAGAACCACTGATTGAGAGTCTCTATTTAAATGCCAAGGCTACCCATGTCCAAATATAATTGTTTTGTCTCATGATCAACAGAAAAGATAATATTCCTATTATTTTTGCAACCCACAGCCATCGTTTCACTTTTCTTAAACATTCTAGAAATTTTCCACCTAGGCTTTAAAAAGATTAAGAGAGGGCTCTGGGGACAATATAAATTGAAGGATGAGCATAATGAATTCTATTCAAACAGGTCAAGACAAAATCTAGCCAAATATCAGAGCACAGCTGCAGATTCACTGAAGCGACTCTCTTCTGCACCTGGTTGTAATCTGATAGTGGAAAAGCAAGCATACGCAACAGTGCATCCTAGTTTAAACTGCCCTGCGATTCAGGCAGGTCCTGACAGTCACAATAGAAATGATGAGAAATGCATTTTGGATGAACAGGAAACTGTATTTTCTAATGAGATGTGCACATTTAGTACTACCTGTAGTCATATTCAAAGTATAAGCTAAGTACTAATGAAAACACTAAAAACAAAAAAACACACAAAAACACACACACACAACACAACAGGAGCACTAACCGGTTTGGCTCAGTGGATAGAGTGTCGGCCTGTGGACTGAAGGGTCCTGGGTTCGATTTTGGTCAAGGGCATGTACCTTGGTTGAGGGCACATCCCCAGTAGGGGGTGTGCAGGAGGCAGCTGATCGATGTTTCTCTCTCATTGATGTTTCTAACTCTCTATCCCTCTCTCTTCCACTCTGTAAAATATCAATAAAATATATTCAAAACAAAACAGGAAAAGAAGTTAGTGGTAAACAGTTAAGGAAAAAAAAAAAGAAATTGATGGCAAAAACAGCAAAAGGAACCAGTACCCTACAGGTCACTGTTCTATTCCAGGTGTTGCTATAAATCTGGACAACCACATGGGCAGTCACTCCAAACAGCTTTCTCTTTGTCAGCTAACTGCACCAGGAAACCATGGTGGCTTCGTGCTACATGGAGTCCCTCTACAGAAGATGAAAATTGGGTGTCACCTCCTAAAGGTAATCTCAAGGGCTGGTTCAGAGAAAGTACAATCAGAACCCTTTCTCCTTTACAAGGAGAATTTCAACCACTTGACATTCCAGACACTCCTAATTCTTTTGGAGCATTGTCCTCTGGATCAGAACCTGCAATAATCCTGCTGCTTGTCCTCCAAATCAATTAGTGTTGCTGACAAGGCTCCCATGGACCTTCAGATCTGAACAGCTGTTGGCTTTTAGACATTCTGCAGATTATCACAGAAGTAGCCTAGTAATAGTGGAACACAGATAAAACAGCTAAGGGCAGCTCTGAAGACCAGGTGTTAAAATGTACAAATGCAAACCCATTTCAAAGAGGAAAAACAGCTCTAATTCTGAATTGTGAAGGGGTAGTTTCGAAAACAATGATATAGAGTTACCAAATCGGGATTACTTTTTCACAGGCCCACTTCAGAATTTGTGAAAACCGAGTTTGGGGAAATCATATGTTCAGAATTGAGGCTAAATGAATTGGAATAGAGTTTTTCCTCGAAGGGACCACAGTACTTCGGAGATTGTTCTTAATGTATATAATTCCTCCTTTTAATTACTGATCTCTTATTTGTGGACACTGGTTAAATTTCGTTTGCTCCTGGGACTGTTTCCTTACAGATTGCAACTTAATGTGTCATGAGTATAATCTTAATGCTGTTATCCAGTAATAAAATCTTAAAAAGATTTGTGGCTTGCTTTGACCAGTTTATGGCATCGTGATTCCGTGCCCAGACTGAACTTTTGGCTCTGGTTATCTAATCTCACCATTTTACTAACAGGACCTATCTTACAGGTACAGTGTGAAGACCAAAATAAGAAACACGTGTTTAATAGAGTGGCATCAATAGACGATCCAAAGTGCTAGCTCTCATTAACATGTGTGACTGCTCACTCTATCGGCCCACATTAACTCGGCCACAAAACAAGGAAACCCCAAACGTAAAAGCCAGAACTGAAACCTATGATTCCTAAACACACTCCTCAAACCATTGGAAATCCAAGGGCCGCCCTGCGTCAGTCGTGGGCACCGTTTTAGGATGGGAGCCAAAAAGCCAGAGCATACTTATTGGTTACCACAGATTCCGAGGTCCCAGTTGAGGCAGGTCCGCCTACCATCCGCGTCGGAAGATCCTTCCTGGTAATAGTCCTCGGGCTGCCGAGTTACGCAGGCTCCACCCCCGGGCGCCACGCCCGTCGTTAGGCCCCACAAGGACGCAGGTCCCGAGTTACCAAAACCTCACTCGTCCCGAGGCCACAGACTCGCGGCAGGGACCGGAAGAGGAAAGAGTGTTGTCAGGCTAGCCCGGTGGGCGGGCGTACGCAGACTCCCTCGGCTCAGCCCACCACGGGGCCTTCAGAGCGTCCTTGTCGCCATGAAAACAGGCCACACCCCGACCCTTCCGGACCGTGGTTCGCAAGTGCGCAGGCGCGCGCGCCCTTCCGCGCATGTGCAGTGCTGCTCAGAGCCCGCCAGCCCCACGGTTCTTCGGGGGGCCCAGGAAACCCCG